AATTGAAAACATGGGATTATCCACACTCGACTGAATTGCAATTAGAATAGGAGACCCGGAGCGCGGCTCTAGGAGTGTACACATGTCGATGGTAAGGGGGGTACGTATTGAGTAGGTAAAGTGGGTGACTAGAGGCGGCTGGGCCCCCTCGGGACTTCAGCAGGATATTATTGGTGATCATATGGCGCTGGTAATAAAGGTAGATGATGAAACTTAGAATTTCATATCCCCGGGCGGTTAAGAAGTAGAGGAAGTCGCCATGGTACATCCGAAGCAATGCGGCTTCTGCAATTCCGCTTCGCGCATGAGCTATTACTACAAACAATGACTCGATTTAGTAATGTGTCTCTGAAACCTGAACTAATAGTAGTAATGTTGCGTCGATTGTCGTCTTATGTTAGACTATAATATTGGCAATAGAGGTTTTTAGCAGAACCGAGTGGGTTCCGAAACCAACTGTCACTGTTTGCTTGACCGACAATTTCGCAATGTATTTTTAGCAGAACCCACCGAAGTCTCAACTGTTTGGGGCTTGATTTATGCGACCCGTAGTCAAGAATTAGCCGCCAGAAGCACAATGGTCTTCCGTTTTTCCGAGGACTACGACAAGGAGCTCATCAGAGAAGTCATCAAGCAGAAGCCATTTGCAGCCAAGTATGGTGAAGCTGGGGCGGTATGGGTCCAAGTAGCAGAGCAAGTCTCCAGCGCAATCAAGCGAGTCTCCACCCTCGATGTAGATCTTACTGAGAAGCAAGTCCAGGACCGTGTCCGACTGCTGAAAAAGAACTGGCGGGCTGGCGAAATTCGGTCAACTCTTGGTAGTGGAATTGAGGAGGATACGGAGGCAACGAATGAACAGAGCCATTACGAGACACTCGCTGGTCTCGTTGCTCAATATGTTCAATTGAAAGATGCTCACAAAGGCGATAAGAAAGCGCAAAGAGACAAGAAGAAGGCCGACGAGGCAGGAGCTGATCGGTGCGCGTCGCAGATCGTTGAAGAGGCAATGGTTCGCCGTGCTCTCCGCGGTGAAGGTTTGCTGACGATATCACCAGACAGCGAGGATGATGCTTCTTTGGTGGACGATGCATCTTCAGTGCCTTCATCACCTTCGGCCCAATCGACGACGTCCAACTCCGCATCCAACAACCGACGTAAGAGCACTTTCCAGATCGAAGTTGAGCGCCAGGAAAAAAGACTGTGTGCAGACATGGAGATGCGTCGAGAGCAGTTCGAACAACAGCTACAGATGCAGCAGCGACAGCATGAAGAACGCTTGGCATTTGAAAGAGAGCAACACGAAAGCCGAATGCGGTTGGAATTAGAGCGCGAGCGAATGCGAGAGCGCTCTGAAGAGCGTACACAGCGCTCCCGAGAAGAGGCTGAAGAGCGAAACAGGCAGCTCATCCTGCAGTGTGCTCAGATCTTTGGGAAATCGTTCTCTAAACAGGGGGCTTAGGTAGTCAAGGTATCCGAGAACGAGAGGTGACGCAAGCACATTACACTTCATTTACACTACTGTAAGTACTCCTGTAGACTAGGTGGCGCGACACCAAAGTAATCGCTGGTAGTGTTACCGCCTCTGGCGCATGTGATGCAATTTGTGAGCAAAACGCCAACTCTGTACATCATTCCCACTGGTTGAACGCCAACGCGAGACTGTCGCTTGAAATCGAGAGCCGTCCAGTAGTTAGTGACCTGGCCGTAAGACCACTCTACAGCAACCCGAACTTTGCTCACGCTTCGGTTGACAATTCGCTGATCTGCTGTTAAGTTTCCAATTGCACCAGCAAATGGACTGCACAAAACTTCATCGTTTCCGTAAGCTTGATCACCAAATATCCGATACGACTGAAATCTGACGTCGTTGTGGATCGTCTTAGCTATTCTAGACTCCTTGAACAACTTGATGTCGTGGTTTCTCCCAGGAAATGGTCCATATAGATGTGTAATGAGTCCGTCGGGCGTCGACAGCGTCTGATACTTGAGGGCGTGCTTGCGCTTGTGTCCATTATAAACGGACTTCTGCCTGAGGTATTTGCCGTCGCGACGGATGTTACGGGGGCCCGGTCGACAAATGCCTCTCACAGTTCCGTCCACAAAGCCCATACGTTCTGCATTACTCCTCCAGCGTCGAAGACAGCATCAGCATACACCTTCAGATTTGAAGCAGCATATTCGTGGTTGAAGCGCAGAAGGTTTGCGAACTTGGTGTCGATGTGATCTAGCACGTGAAGAAACAGATTAGACATACCGCTTGCACTTCTACCGAACACAGGTTCCAAATCTGTCCACCGCATCGGAACTGCTAGCTTATACAACACAATGCACAGCCCTTCGACGCCTGTTGCCACAGTCCTATCGCGCGTTTGAATCGTCTCCAATCCAAATAGCGTAACTAATTCCGCAATCTGAGATTTGTCGAACCGAAACTTGTCCAAGCACTGCTCGTTAGATAAGGTTGAAGTTGAAAGGGACTCGTGGAAGCTTCTCTGGTGCGATATCTGCGTCGAAGTACGCGTAGATGGCTGCAGCGAGGGTAGCATTCTCTGTCTCGTAGGCTTGGAACCAGAGACTCATGAGGTAAGCCTTCTTGTGATACCGGTCGGACACCCGACAATAAACGACGCACGATCTGAAGCATGTCGTTGTTATCGTCAGCAGGGGGGGCTCGCATTCTTTGTGTTCGCGAGGAATTTCTGGAGTGCTTTGGCCTTCGGACACGCTTTGGCATTCGGACTGCCGAACCTCTTCCAGCAGCGCCTTCTCTCCCTCTGGTAGTGGCGCCTCTTCCTCCTAAAGATAAGCACACAGCAAAGGTGAATTGGTTACTAATATGAAAACCACTAATGTCTGTCGTGAACAGTAATTTGTTGCTGAATCTGTGGGTTCCGACAGACAAACCTTTTCGAACTTGTCGGTTGACCGCGAGGATTAGGCGAAAAATCCATACGGTAAACCTACTTTTCACAATTACACGGTTCTGCTAAAAACCTCTAATATAATACTACATTGGACTGTGTTACATTTCGCTTGTAGACGAGTGGGGACCATATACTTCGCGGCATTTGAATTGGATTTATTCAGTTCTCCGAAACATGATGGCATTGGTGGAGTAGTCTAGCGTTGCCGTTTGATCCCGGTTCGAGTCCTGTAGCGAGGACAAACAACAGTTCCCTGCCAGGGGTTGCCGAACCGTCAAGTGAAGGCCTTTTACATGGCGGGATATCTCAAAAAAAATCCAAATTCAAACTGTTGAGTCGACACTGAGCAAAATAACTCAACGCGCTAAATCGCCGTATGGGCGACTTTCTTCCAACGGAGATCATGCACGAGCGCTTTGATTGTCACTTTTCTAAATCCGGCAGTACAATGCAGTATTTTGCCGCGCCCTATCACTCTACTGGTACGCGCTCTGCTGCCGTCTCTCCCGCTGCAGCCACGCCGTTGCTCGGTGATACAATGCACTGCACAAGCTCACAGAGACCGTGGCTTGCGCTTGGCGCAGTCTCAGTCGCCGCCACGGTCATGCTATGACCGCTGCAGAACAGCGCTTTGACCGACCGAATGAGGGCTCTGGTCGGCTCGAACAACAGCTTTAGAGCCAGGTCTGCGTTCGATCCACGCCGTGATACGCCGGCGATGGCAGCTGGCCACAGCAGCAAGTGACGCAAGGCCCCACCGGACCAAAACGCAAAACGCAAAAAGCTGTGGGAGAGCAAGGGGCGTGGAGCAAAGACGGGGCCTCACCGGGAATCGAACCCGGGACCTCTCGCACCCGAAGCGAGAATCATACCACTAGACCACGAGGCCACTCCAAACAGATCAAACCGCCTACGATTTCACAAACGCCCTACCGTAAAGCCAACGCACGACAACCATTCACCGCTGCCTCCACATCACGCACCGCTCTCTCCGCTACCGCCTCATACTCTTGGATGCAGCCCAACATCAAAATTGACGCTGTGGTGGACGCGCAAATACGCCGCTCTGCTGCCGTCTCTCCCGCTGCAGCCACGCCGTTGCTCGGTGATACAATGCACTGCACGAGCTCACAGAGACCGTGGCTTGCGCTTGGCGCAGTCTCAGTCGCCGCCACGGTCATGCTATGACCGCTGCAGAACAGCGCTTTGACCGACCGAATGAGGGCTCTGGTCGGCTCGAACAACAGCTTTAGAGCCAGATCTGCGTTCGATCCACGCCGTGATACGCCGGCGATGGCTACTGTCTGCTCCTTAAATCTGTGGGGGTTACATGGGATTTTCGTATTTGCTGGGATCAGGTGGAGGGAATTCTCTGAAATTTTTTCAGAGCTGAGACAGGATCGCAGTGACCGTATGGCCAATGCAAGGCATGCGTGCTGCGCGAAGGTGACAGCGAATGGTGGCATGAGGGCACGGTAGAAAGGTGTGGGTTACCTGCTACGCTTACTGCCCTGGGTGCAGGAATACTCAAAATGCGCGCGCAACCCGTGCAAACGTTCAGCCTAGCTAATTGTCATGAGTACGGGCGCTGTGCGTCACCCAAACTACCGTTTCGCGACTGAAAAGTGCCAAGGGCTGACAGTAAGCAAGGTTATAATTGGTCCTCTGCGCCAATCATCAAGGCTGCAACCTCAGCGCTCTACCTTATACGTGGCCGTCACGCAAGTCACGTCGATGCTCCACATGTTCCTCCTGGGGCCTCCCACGTTGGCATTTCTCCGGTACTTCACGCCTCCGCAAGCCGTGCTCGCTGAAACACTGCCCCTTTAGCAGCTTGAACACGCCTGCGACCACCGCCACGACATTTCTACCGCTTAACCATACCTAAATTTCAGGGTTTCTTCGTGCACCGCGCGACTTTGTTCTAGAATAAATGTATCCGGGGCATGCAAATTTGACGAGTTTGCTTACCGTGAACCGTTGGAGATGCTCTGAAGCTAGGATAGAGCAAATCTTGTCTGAAATTGATACGTTGACCGCGGATATCTATCGTACCATAAAGCTTTTAGAAAAATGTGTCAACGGCCGGGTTCGAACCGGCGACCTTCTGCGTGTAAAGCAGACGTGATAACCACTACACTACGACGACAACATGCTGATATACGAATATACCTTATACTGTACTTAGTAATACCTATATAACACGGTTCAGTGTTTGTGAATATGTCAGCAATGGTCTTCAACACCCGACACAGACAAAGTGACAGCATTTTGCTGCCTTTTTTACAGCACTCATTTGTCGAAGCGTGCTTGGGCATTCCTGCTGCGAAGGTTGTGTCGAGAAAAGCTGTCGTCGCTCAGGGGCTGCGCGGTTAGATCGCCCCATGCAGCCATCGTCTTGCCTCTCTCCTTAGAAAAGGGCGCTCAGCGAAGAAGAGCTAGATCTTCCTCTGCGGTAACAATGCACCGCTTGGGAGTCATGCTTGGTGGTGGTGGGATCGTGGAGAAGCGTCGACGCGGTTGTGATGAATGCGTTTCTCAAACCACCAATTCCAAAGCCAAATTCGTCACTGAATCCAACTGGAACCCATTTTATGTTAGCGTTTTCGTAAATCTGTGGAAAGGAAACACAATCCCCGCTGCGAAATATCTCTATTCGAGCTGCTATTGAAGAAGAGATGGAGAAAGACATCCTGCTTGGTGAGCTTATTGACGATCAGCTGAAGCTGTGGTCGCTGATAAGGAGCCAAGCGCAGGTGAGACACCGCAGAAGTAGCTTCGTTGAGGACGTACCACCTTGTAATGGAGCGCCTGTCGGATGGAGGTGTAGCCACAGAGAAGAAGAAGACAGAGGGTGAGGTGAGAGACTTCTTGCTGGAGCTGAAAGAGATGGAGGGCAAGGAGAAGAAAGAAATTAGTGAGGGAAGCATTTTAGCAAGTCACACAACTAATTCTTATTGACTGGTTTGGTTTTGCTACTCAGATCTAAATACTCTTCAAATTATGGTGGAGCTTGTCGCGGTGTGCTGTCATTACAAGCTAGAGAGCGAACAGGTCCACGAGCTGAAAAATGTCTGCTTTGTCGAACCAAAAGTCCCTGACGCAGTTGGCGTCAGCTTTGTCACTGAACCCTTTCGCGAGTCGCTTAGGTAAAATATAGAATACAAGTCTAAGTCGTATAATTCTAAAATGGTACATCAGTCGCCCTTTTACAAAATCACGGCACTATCTTTGCATATCTATTGTAGCATATCAACTTCAATGATTTGCTAGAGGTACCTTGTCGAAGTTGTTGCTGGAACATAAAGAGGGTAGGGTGACCAGAAGGGGGTGAAAGCCGTTGCACTTGGAAAGCCGAAACAATCCCTATGGGTTACGGTCGGTGTGGGGAGCACCGGCTTAAATCCAGGACCATGCATGGCCAAGTCCAGCTTAGGGGTTCTGTCGGCGTTCTCAGGGATTCAGCGGGTTTTGCTGGGTGATAGTATTCCTGTCGGACCCCATCGTTGGAGATTTGAGCGGTCGGGACATCCGTCCTGGAACAGTATGTATTATCACAGGTGAAAATGTTATATACAGTACTAGGGCTTCGCGAAGGATGCGATACGATAATGATCATGAAGAGCTATGTGTCCGCGCGATTCATGGATTCGGCCCATTCCGGGTCGAGCTCAGGAATGTCACGCGTGCACGAAATCTAAATCCACCCACAAGACGGTTCTCACAGGATGTACAACAATGGCAAACTTAAACAAACGGGTATTCACTAAAACGTGGTAACATTGCAAGTAAAATTTGAAATTCATCGTACCATAATATAGGACGCGCTGTTTACCTGGCCTGTCCTAACACAAAAATCCCGTTTGGGCTGTGCTAGTCAGCAATTCGTTGCTTCCTATCCCAGTAAAATTGTGGAGGATATTGTTATGCTTTGAGGCTGTTGTGTTGTAGTCAGAGGTTCTTGTGTTGCTCTGAGGTTTCAGCAAGGCTATCATCGTGTTGCTCTTGTGTCGTAGTAACGCCTTTCGTTACATGTCACTACTTTGATTTGAGTAAGCCTAAATGATTTGTGACTGTACAGTTTATAGTCTGTTTTTTTATAAAACTCGGTATATCCAGTACTAACTTGAGCTTGTGCAAAATGGCCAGTTCGTACCGTGTTTTGCCAAAGGGCCCCCTTGAACCGCGAAAGGGCTAATACAAAGCGGATTGCACGGATGATAGGGCGTTCTGAGGAATCGTCATGACGTCCAGCATAGAAGTACAGGTAACAAGGCTACGGAGCTGCTCACAGCAGCCTGCAGTAACGTTTTCATCACAGAAAGCGAAAGTGTGGCACGCCGACCACTCAACAAGAGTAACACTTAAAAAAGGAACCTTGACGTGGGAAGTGCTCATTGCGAAAAGCTCAGGTTGCCGATTTCCTCATCATTCCTCCACAACCTTAATGTACATGCACTCACAAAATAATCTGGTGCTAGCACACACTAATAGTGAAAATCGACTAATTTTGAACGTTCAAATAGCGGGCTATATTCAGTTATACTGCACTAGACGAGTGCTGACGAGTGCTTCATCGCGTGCGTTACTCATCGCGACGTGAGGTACCAGATCGTTTTCATTCTAGCTTCTCCCTGTTTCGTCAAGTCGCGCGTCGTCGTGGAAAAGCTGACTTGTATACTAGTTTTGAATCCTGTAATTCCTCCTGCCCATGAATTAGTTTGCCACAGAGTAATTATGAACACATACTAATTTTGCACTTAGACTAATTACCGTAGTCACTTTAATATGGGGAGACGCATACTTGCTCTATTTGCTGGTTAGCTCGGCGTGCGGTCTGACGACGACTTTTTGGTGAGTTATCAGATCCGAGTAGTGAATTATTGTCAGCGGAAACGTTACAACATTGTACTAAACACTTATAAGGAGGGTTCTAACGTATAATTCATGAAGATACGATGGCCGAGCGGTCTAAGGCGCTGGTTTTAGGCACCAGTCTTCGGGCGTGGGTTCGAATCCCACTCGTGTCAGTTTTATAAAACGGCTGCGATCATTTCAGCTTTTTTTTGGGCAGCGGTGGCGCTCATGTTCTTCTCGCTCGCCCAGTCTTGGAGTGGCCCCGCCTTCACTCGGTCTAGCGGACAGCATGCATTTCTGGGAAAGGTTCGCTCCCTTTTCACCAAAACCTCTGCTGCTGAGCTGCGCGACCTCCGCGCACGCCTGAACCAGCTGCGCATGAGAGCTGCGCAACATCCTGATGGACCTCAACCTGGCGCGCTCCGGGCGCGAGGCGGAGCTTGTGGAGTTCATCGCCGTGGAACTGGAGGTCCGTGCCTCACTAACTGCTAAAACGTGAGTGTGGGGTTATTCAGTCAATTTTGTGAACTCGTAGTTCCACGTCGAGCGGGTCGCGGCCGGCATGCGGAGCATCGACGAAAAGCCAAGGGGGAGAGCGGTCTACACACCGGCGCCGCCCTGTGCCAAATATATTAAAGGGGAAATGAACTTAATGCACCATCTCACAATCCAAATAAACAATGTGCCCCACAGTCCGAATAAATAAATATTGTGCGCCACGATCCAAAATAGGGCTACGCTCAATATAGATGTGAACAGATAACAAAATCATAAACAGAGCAGCATTTATTATGTTTTCCTCTCACCAATGACAGGGTTTGAGCGATTTACACAACCTTTCGATTTTACGTAATATATGATTTGTGTAAAATGTAAAAGGAAAAACTCAAGGATATATCAAAGACTGACTACCATAATAATCGTGAAAAGTAATACATGTGGTGTAATTAACATCAAATAAATGTTTTAGAGAGTGCTAGAAGATAGCTACACAGCGGTCAAGTTGAAGGTAATTTCAGCTGAAATAACGGCTCGAAAGCGGCCTCTGGAAACTTCAGCTTGCGTGAAGTTCACATGGTTTTGAGGACCCAACTACCTTGTAGGTAGAATGAGTCCATTTTGGGAGACTCGGAGTCGACAACCTCGTCTTCGACGTAGTCCACGTTGGCCCCAAATGTAGGAGAGCTCAGTTCCAAGTTCTCGTCTTCGTCGTGCTGTCTCCATGGTGATGTCCGAACTGAGCAACAAATCGCACCCGTCGCGTGCAAATGCTTTGAGTACCAATCATTATTTCGTTGGAAGGCGTTGTAGGTGGACTTATGTGATGCAGATAGAGCTTTTCACCATTCACTGCCCTCCATAATAATTGGCGGTGCACATGATTTGCTTCGTGTGCTTGACGATGTGCCGCACCATTCTCCGTGTCTAGCAGTAATGCTTTAATTACTTGCATGGCTTGGGACTTTGAGAGAGTACGACTTAAATCGAGCTTAGATTGCTTTTTCTTCAGTAGGTCAAATAGGGGTGAAATCAAAGCCATCTCCATAAGTGTCCGATTGCTAGGAAAGGAGTAGCGGCGGCAGCTAGAAGTGAGGACCGAACCACGGCTGCCAGGTGAGAAAATATGGACAATCAGGTGTTCTTCGACCAGCGTATCTATATTTCCAAGTGTGACATCATCTGTGCTGTGATTGACTACGATGAAAACGTGAGCAGACCATTTGGAGTAGCTAGCGACACGAGTCGGTATAAAACACTTTATGCAAGCAGGAGCTGCAGCTTTGTTGTGCAATTTGCTTCCAAGAACGAGGTCAAGTGACCGTCGCGATTCATACCTCACAGTTGCCCTATTGAAACAGCCACAACATGTGTACGTATCATGAATCAAAAATGGACAGCCAAACAGCTTACGTCCAACTCTCATGTCCGCGAGTTTTTTGTTCAACGTGGTCGAGACGTGTCGCCTGTGATGATTCGAGATATGCATGCTAAGCAAGGGAGACACGCAACGTATATGAACTGTGTGAACGCGTGCAACCGCCTTTACACCGAGTTCTTTGAAGATGATTATTTCGAAGTGCATCGAGAAGTTGAACGGGCGTGTGCACAAAGCTGTTGTGCAAGTTGATAGGGGTGTTTCAAGCGCCGTGCAATTGCTTTCCGGGAGGGTCGTCAATCGTTTCCGCCCTAGGCTGATGGTGGACTAAGTGTGGGCGGCACGTCTCTTAAAATGGACTATGGGATTATGTTGCTTGTTGCCTGTTTTCGAAATGGAGAGCTTTAAATCGTTGG